TGATTCACCCGAATTACTACCTCCAGTATCCCTCCCTAACCCCACTTTTTGTTGGATAATCTTCGTTGAAGAAGACTTATGGACTTCCAATTTTTTCTTCCTCCCTGATCTGAGTATTTTGAAATAAGAGGTAGTAGCGTGATTTTTCAGCACATTCCCCAAATCAGCAAGGGACTTTCGCTTAGTGGGCCTTGGGTTTGATTTTGGGGCACAAATGCTTTTACACGACCCCACACACTAATTCAGGCCTATAACATCTTCATGAAAGCCCAATAACTTTTGTTTCTCAATAGTCGAAATACCCCCCTGTTGTGGCCCCACCACTAACATGATTTGTCTTAACAAACGTGTCCTCACTCCCCACATCACCTCCTGACTCCACATTAAATGTATCATTGCACCTCACGCCACCTAGGTTACTTTTATTTGACTTTGTTTTACTTAAATGATTATTCTCCCCGTTAATGTTTTTTCCGATGCACTCCAACTCCGTAAAACTTACACCAGTCATCTCCTTCACCATTAATGCTTGACCTTTTTTATATACCCCGCCTCCCTACTATCTAGGATTTGAGATGACACATCACTGCTATTCTGCTCTTCTGTACCGAACACACTCTCTGATACCACCTCGATACTCAATGACCCCTCTAACTCGTTTTTCTCTGACTCAGTATTAGTGTCTTCCAACTCAGTGCCATCATTCTCACCCGACTCAGATGCTTCATTGGAACTTTCCTCATGCTTATGTCTTGGGACAACGATTCTCTTAGGACCATGCATGTCCTCCATAATCTTTACCCTAAAAGTGTTGTTATTAATTTCTATATTAAAAGCTTCATTTAGAACCATGGTATAATTTGTTCTAATTAAAACCCTTGCCATATCCATGTTACCCTGCTTTGTAGTTGCTTCATCCATGTAAACGAATTTACCAATAGGTTTTATAATAAATTTGATTTTTTTGCATCCCATGCAAAACATGGCATACCATAACATCGTAACCATGTCATTCTTTCATTGTCAACATCTTTTGGATTCCATGGCCCAATCTCTGAAAACCAACGTCCAATCCACTCCTCTCCTCCTTAATAATAGATTTGATCACACCTTCCTCCACTTCTTCAATAAGACAAATATTTTCTCCTAGTGGTGTAATCTTGATTCCAAAAAAAACCTTCAGTGTAAAACGCCTTTTGAATGTTATATGTCTCCCCCGGTATCTCCATAACACCTATATATGCTTTTTGGAATCTCTTGAGATCCATCTCTTCCATGTTATACTGAAGGTGAGCAAAAGGTTTGAATTTGTCATCATACCATCCTAGGACCTCATATTTCCCTCTTCTTCCTCCCCATGTGTTTATTCTTCCAGTCATATGCAAGTTAGCACCCCTTCCTCCATCGTACCCTACTACTTGAGCATAGGTTTTGTTCGGGTTCGTCTTTTTTTCACCACCATAATCAGCTCGCCTAAAACCCCATTCCTTCTGTTTAGTAGGGTTCCCCTTAATCCCGCCCTCTTTCTTCCTATTATTTATCTGGCTACGACAACTCCCACCTCTTTGAAACTTTGAAATGTTAGCATGAATTTTCATTGACTTGATAAATATATTATCCAACTTGGTCGCAAGTACTTGGTCATCCTCCACCTTCTTAAACCTTACAAAATCGTATTTTCTCTCTAATGTACCTTTTAAGAGGAATCACTACCTCTTCAATCAGCCCAAACTCCTTGAAAACTTTGAACATCTCCTTCGCTCCAAACAATTCTGAAAATTTTGTGAAGAAAAAGTTTGAGATTCTTTCACCACCACCCACTCCTTTACCTTTCTTTGAGTTCCACACCATATCATTCATTCGGTTTCCATTCCTCCCTTTATGGTTGACAATATGCCAACCTTCAAGCCTTTCTCTATCTTCCTCTCTCTTTTTCTCTCTTTCTTTTTCTCTCGCTTTCTCTCTTTCTACCTCCTCTTTCTCTCTCATCTTACCGATATTTTTAAAATCAACTTAGATTATATCTAATATTATATCTAATATCTCAACACATAAATTAACATAAATCATTTTTCCATTATACTATTTGTGCATTGGTTTCAATTTTTTTTTTAAAAGTTATATTTTTAAGTTGTGTGAATTTTTGTTCGAGTCATAAACAACCATTGAAATTATTGGTTTTCTTATAACTTAGTTAAATAGTTGCTTCTTTTAATAAACTTTTCACCTATACAAATATTTTTGTTTTTTTTAATCAAAATAACTTCAATATGACTAAAAAAACTTTATAGTAATGTTTGTTTAATTGCATTTATATCCCCCTTAGTAGGCCAAAAAAATTTTCATTTACCTTCTACCTAATATTCATAATAGTTGTTTCTTTTTAAATTTTATTTTTATCATCTATATTTTTGTGTTGGGTAAACGGTATTATTTTTCTCATCATATGTTAAATGTGAAGTGAAAAAATGTTATTTAATTCTTTTATGAGGCTAAAATGAAATATATTAAAATCATTCAAGCACATGGTGTTTTGTCTAAAATGGAAAAGAATATAGGTTCAAATACAATGGTAATCTACCATATTATGGTGATAAAAATAACAAAATCACCAACTAAAATAACCAAAACAAACTATTGTATTAACCCACCATAAATAATCTAAACAAAAGTTTGGCTTCTTTGCTTTAAACCACCACCAAACTAAAACTTTTAATTTGGCTAATAGTTGAGACGATTCCTTGTTGCACAGAATACTCAAATTACATTATTTTCAAATGATCTAACACACAACCAACCCAATCAAATGAAAGCAATTACAAATCGCGCCACAAAAATGAATAGCATACTCATGATTATGGTTAGTAAGAATACAAGACATATTTAATCACTTATGAACATCAACCTAAATGTGACCAAAGAAATCACATTATAAGAACTAATTATTAACACTTTCTCCTTTGCCACAACTAAAACTATCGAAACGAGCTGCCTGACCCTAGACAGTCAGCCTTGATGAGCCTCGAGTTTTATAAGATTGGGTTACAACCGCTAAAACATAACAGAGAATCTCAAGAAATAATACTTCTACGAATCAAATTATATTTTGATGCAATTTTATTGAAAACAAGTCGCTAAACAAAAATAAAATCCTTCAAAAGAACAATTTTATGTCAAATTATTCAGAGTAAAATAATCAAACAGAGTAAGAAAAAATAAATATTTCAGTATTTATTATATTTATTTTGAGGTTAATAAATGAAAATTTCTCTAAAAGAAATCTATTAACTGGACTGGGTTTACAACACTAAACATGTGATTCATTAGTCTACAAAGAAAAATTACTTAACAAAGAACAACACTCTACCATTTACTCTTCATCCCAAGCTAACAACCTTATTCTCCACCTCCAACTCGCCCCTTCAATCCTTATTCCGACCTCCACGTCTTAGGAATGAATACATAGTTATTCACACAAAGATAAAAAATCTTCTAAACCTACTTCAATGAGGACCGCCCTCCAAGCATGAATCAAACAAAAAATGTACTTTATCTATTACCTTCTATCCTAGCAACCATGTTGTAAATCCAACTATAAATCTTTTCACACACATTATTGAAACATTGATATATAGTATAAGAATAAACACCTTTGTAAGAGACACACCATTTATCCACCTAAAATCTTAAGGTGATATGTGAGCGGATTCTCCAATTTATATATGTTATACAATGTTCCCTCACTTGTACCGTTATTGACATCTTGCAACAGAAGTGGGCACATTTTGATACAGAAACCAAAGACTCTGATATCATGTTGGAGGGAGATATTAGGAGTATTGATACATAGTGTAGAAATAAACACATTTTTGAGAGGCACACCACTTATCCACTTGAAACCTTAATGTGATATGTGAATGAGTTCTTCCACTTATATATGTTTAAGTCTCCACATTCCTATCCAATGTGAGACTATTTCATCACTTACTCATACTTACTATATTATTTCAATATTATTCAAATCTTTCCAAAAGGTTGATGCATTCTTATCACCCTATTTGACACCACCTCTCTCTACACCATACTTTGTCACTAAGATCTTAAACCAAATCATACTTTTTTTATTGACGTAATATATTGTTGGAATAATATAACAAATGTGAATAAGTGGGGAGATAGTCTCATATTAGATATGAATGTGAAGACTTAAACATATATAAGTGGGAGAACTCACACAAGGATGATGATACTTAATCAAAAGTCATGAATAGTAAAAATAATTAGCATTTTCTACATACCTCTTATACTAAATAATAATATAGCAAATTAATTTTAATCTTTAGTTTTTTATTTTAATTTAATTTAAATAAATGCAAATACTATTTTGTTGGAGGCACAAATAATATCCCTCGAACCTAATCTCTAATATATAAGAATATAATGAATATTTTATATATATAAAACAATAAACAGTTTGTAAAATATATATAAGTAATCCTAGTCTAAAATAGTTAATTTCATATGATAGGAAATAAAAAAAATATTCTTAATAATATTCAATAAGAATCGAAGAGATTTTCTTCAAATTTATTTATACTCTATTCTAGAAAATATGAATTAATTTTATTTTTTATTTTATTTCAAAAATGATTTTATTGACCAAATATACTATTATTAAATTTATATTATATAGAAAAATAATTATACAAATAAAGTTGCATCAACTTCTTATAGGAAAAGTTTTATTTTACAGTAACTAATCGTACAAAATGAAAAAAGAACCGGTCAAAGAAGCAATATTTTAAATTCTGTACCTTATGCTTCAGACCAACGCGCTCAAATACAGCGTGTGAATTTCATTCTCCCCAAACCACATTTTTCCCGCTTCTGTTTTCTCCTTTAAATATCACTCTGTCTTTCTGTGTAACTCTCATTCTTACCATTATAATAACTCTCATTCTCATAGTAATAATCACTTTTTCCATTTCAACTTTTTTTCAATGGAGTTCAAATTTCGTGCTGTGGACAACGTCAAACCAGAAACAACATCGCATTCTCCTTCCCCGGTCATATATCTTCCAGATCGATCACTTCAAAGTAAGTCAATCAAAATCTCTCTTTTGCTTAAACCAAAGAAAACAAACTTTTTTTTTAAAATATCCACTGTATTATTTATCGTTGTTGTTGTTTTTTTTTCAGTGAACCATGGTTTTTCTGGTTTCCGACAACCATTAACCGGCGAGGAGGCAGTTCGGCGAGAACTTGAGAAGGAGGTAATCCGCAGAGAAATGTTGCGGCGATTAGAGTTAGAGGAAGAAGTGAGGAGGGAAATTGAAATCGAGAGAAAATTGGGGATTTCAATACCCAGGCCGCTGAATATGCAGGGACTACTGTCGCAATGGTCAAATTCATCGACGATGAACCCTGTTGCTGTTGGCCATATTGGTGCGTCGCAACCACCCTTGATTTTGCCTCCTACGGAAATCAATCCTGCTCCAGAAATCAGTGACAAGGACAAAATTATAGTGTTGGTTAGTTTTCATATCTTCATCCATTCTCTTTTTTTTTACTGTCACATATTCTCTCCTATGTACTAGCTTTCTGTCCCATATTCTCTATTATGTACTAGCTTTAAATCCTAAACTATGGAATATTTTTACAAACATAACTCTTTTTAACTAAATTTTTATAGTATAAATTTCAACTCATATGTCCAATATAAGTAGGAAGTTCCGCCTATTAGATTGACGAATACTCTTTAAATTATACAGTTTCTGTCTATTAGACTAACGGAACGGTTAATATGTCGTTTTTTTTTTAACAGCTTCACGTTACAACAGTTCCGCCCATTATTTTTGTGGATAGTAAATATTTTCAACAACTCCGTCCATTCAGTTGACGGATGCTGTGACAAAAATGAAATTTATTTAAAAACATGATAGTTTGAGATTATTGAATGAAGATGATGTTATAGTGGAGTTTATTGTGTAAAAATATGATAGGACAATAAAAAAAGTCTAAACTATCATACTCTTTTGTTTGATCTTTGAACTAAAGAAATATAATAAATACTTTCTAAATTATTTTTAATTTATCAAATTAGTTCATAAACTATCATTCTCTCTTGTTTTAAGGCAATTGAGAGACTAATTTGAAGATTAATAGTAATTTAAGGATTATTTCTTATATCTTTATAGTTCAAAAACCAAATAACACAGAGATACTTGTAGTTTGGAGAACAAATTAAGATTTATCTAATTTTTTAATGAATTTATATGTTTAGTTACTATTCATACTTTGCTAAGTAGGTGTTTGTTAGAATAAGAGAACAAATCTATTGTTCATTATTATGGTAGTTGATTGCACAATTGTAATTTCAATGTTTATTACAATTTAAATGATTATTGCAATTTTTCAAATGACAAACTTTAAATTTGACAATTTTTCTAATGATTATTGCAATTTACATGTGTTTAGAAAAGTTTGTATGAATTAGATAAATCACCAATTATAAATAGAATATAATTAACTACAATTTTAAACATTATTAATCAAAATTGCAAGTGTTCTAACGACATATTTTGGGTAAGATACTTTATTCTATTCATATTTTTTTTATAAGAATAATTCATATCTTTCATCTTTGTATTTCAATGCAGACTAAGCCAGATCCCGAACTTTATAATGCAAAACGAAAAGCAACAACAGTGGCTGTTTCTGAGACAGAACCTTCTGCATTTGATTTGAAGAAAAAATTGAAGAAGGAGTGGAGTTGTTCTCTGTGTGAGATTAAAGCCACAAGTGAGAGTGGCTTGAATGCTCATCTGAATGGTAAGAAGCACAAGATCAAGGAAGCTAGACAATATAAAAAGAGTTGCAGGAGCAACAGAAAAAGTGGAAAACTTGTGAATGTAAAGGCCACTGAAAAAGTGGATACAATGATGGTTAATAAACTTGAAAATGAATCTAAAAATGAAGAGCAACTTATAGAGACAGTAGCTGATAATGATATAAGGGTAACACAATCAAAGAATGAGAAGAAGCTTTGTGAGATGATGGCTGATAATATTGTTACAAAGTGTGAAAATGGGGAGATGCTTGAGGAGAAAAGCCAATGTGTAGGCTTTTTGAAAAGTGATGAAGACACTGCAACTGAAGAAACTGGGAAAGGTAAGTTCATTAACCAAAGGAAGGAAAGTTAAACAGTTGTGGTGCGAAATTTGTCAAATAAGCACTTTCTCACAAGTGGGATGTACCGTGGAAGGACATATCAAAAGGGACAAAACACAAAGAAAATGAAGAAATTTGAACATTGTTTGAATTGTGAGAACTTGGGGGAGTTTATCAACGATGTTAATTTTTTTCTTCTTTTTACTTCAATTCTTCTTCCCCTTTAAGTCCTTCTTTATCCCCCCCTCCGCTGCAAACTAGCAAACAAAATCTTAACGTGTGTTTTCTTATGTATAGACAAATTAAAATTTTTCTTCGAGAGTATAGACAAATTAATTTTACCTAAAACTAAGTTGAAAATATTGATTTCCATACGATATCAATTATGATAAAGTGGATAGAAAAATTTGACTATATAAATTAAATGTAAAATCTAAAAGCTAAAAATCATAGTTTCAATTTAAAATCAAACTAAGATGGCAATGATAAAATGTTTAATCGAACTTTACAGTGAACTAAAAATAATTGTGAATTTCAATTGTTAACAAAAGATATTGAAATATTTAATTAGATTAGATTAGATTTAATATTTAATATAATTCAAGTTGTGTTAGCTCAAGTAGGGTTGTATATAAATAGTCATAGTGTGTATCATTATTTGTACATTTGAATAATACAAATCTTTATTTTCCTTTATTATTCTTTCTTTCTCTCCTCACTAAAAACGCCTCACGCAATAACAAATTGGTATCCAGAGCTTCTGGTTATTGTTCTTGATCAAGTTTTCAAGAATTTCACGTCAGAGATCGTTTTTCTAGGGCAAGCAAATCAACCGCTGCGAAGATGACTAGTGATAAGGACATTCCAAATTCTCTTTCAATGCTTGACGGTAAAAATTGGATCCGATGGAAAAAACAGATGCAATCCTTATTTGGCTTCCATGAAACCCTAGAAGTGATTACCGACGGCGTTCCGGCATTGGCTACAAATGTAACCGACGAACATAAAAAAGCCCACAACGAAGTCAAGAAAAAAGATTGCAAGGCTGCTTATTGCATTCAAACGGCTGTCGATGCTGCTAACTTCGACAAAATCTCTCATGCTGAAACAGCGAAGGAGGCATGGGATATTCTGGTAAAGTATTTCAAAGGAGGTGAGAAAGTCAAGGTTGTCAAATTACAAACCTTGCATCGATAATATGAGTTGTTGTTGATGGGAGAAGATGAAAAAGTTGCAGAATATGTGTCGAAGGTTCAGAAACTCGTCCATCTCATGAAGGGTTGTGGTGAAACCATTACTGATAAGTTGATAGTTGAGAAGGTAATGAGAACGCTGACCTCTCACTTTGATCACGTTATTGTAGCTATTCAAGAATCCAACAATCTTGAAACCACTAAAGTGGAAGATTTGGTTGGTTCGTTGGAGGCGCATGAGATGAGGATTGTTGAAAGAAAAGGAGTTCAGGACTCGATACAGGCACTGCAAGCTCAATCATGGAAAAAAGATGGTGGTTCCAACAAATTCAAAGGCAAGTTCGACAATACTCATGGCAAGAAGTCTTAGTCGAATTCCCATAAGAATAAGGTCGAAGATAGATCTTCTGAATCCTCGAAAAGGGGAGGAGGAAACTATCGAAAGGACAAAGAAGATAAGAAAGGTATGAAGTGTTATAACTGTGAAAAGTGGGGACACTTGGCCAAAAATTGTTGGTACAAAAAAGACAATGGATCGAAAGGCAAGGACAAAGGAGAGATCCTTGCACGCCAAGATTCAGATGATTCTGAAGGTGATGTGATGGTTATGGCTGCAATTGCAGATAACCATGTTGAATCTAATATCTGGTTTCTCGACTCAGGTTGCTCGAACCACATGACTGGTCGAAAGGAGTGGTTGGCATATTTTGACGAGTCGAAGAAGAGAAAGGTAAAACTTGCTGATAATAGTTTGTTGCAAGCAGAAGGTACTGGCAACATAGTCTTTCAAATGAGTAATGGAGGGAAAGCAATGATCAAAGATGTGCTCTATGTACCTGGAATGAAATGCAACTTGTTAAGTGTTGGACAACTAGTTGAAAAAGGTTTCTCAGTTGTCATAAAAGATGGAGTTTTGAAATTGTTCGACACTAAGAACAATTTGGTTTTACAATCTCCATTGTCGAAGAACAGGACATTTAAGACTATGATCAGTTCGACAGAAGTTCAATGTTTGAAAACTGTTGTCGACCACAAGGATAGTTGGTTGTGGCATTTGAGGTTTGGACATTTGAATTTTCGATCACTTAATCAACTAATTACTCAAGATATGGTTACTGGTATTCCAAGTCTTGAGATGCCTGAAAAACTTTGTGAAGGTTGTTTAGTGGGAAAGCAATCCAAAAATTCTTTCGTTTCGACTATGTCAATGAGATCATCCTGCATTCTCGAAGTGGTGCATTCAGATGTATGTGGTCCATTTGAAGAACATACAATTGGTGGAAACAAATATTTTGTTTCCTTTGTCGATGAGTTTAGTAGAAATCTGTGGATCTATGTGATCAAATGAAAGGACAAAGTATTCAAAATCTTTAAGAGATTCAAGATACTTGTCGAAAACCAGAGTGAGAAGAAGATCAAAGTTCTACGAACAGATGGAGGTGGCGAATACACATCCAAGATGTTTGAAGATTTTTGTGCAGAACATGGTGTTGATCACGAGGTAACTGCTCCTTACACACCTCAACATAATGGAATTTCTGAAAGAAGAAATAAAACCATATTAGATATGGCAAGATGCATGCTGAAGCAAAAGAATTTGCCAAAATCTTTATGGGGAGAAGCTATTTCGACTGCAGTTTATATTTTGAATAAGTGTCCTACTAAGATATTGAAGAACAAGGTTCCTGAAGAAGTGTGGAGTGGCAAACGACCACCAGTAAGTCACTTGAAGGTGTTTGGCTCTATGTGTTACAAGCATGTTCCTGACGTAAGGAGAAGGAAGCTTGGCGACAAGAGTGAACCTATGATTCTGGTAGGATATCATAAAACTGGTGCATACAGACTATTCAATCCAGTTAATGAAAAGATTGTGTTGAGTCGAGATATTGTGATTAATGAAAATTCTGTCTGGGATTGGAATTCTAGCAATTCAATTAACAAATCATTAATGAACTTTGATTTCGATGAAGAAACTAATGAAGTAGAGGTCGAAGGAATTGTTAAGAATCCAGTCGAAGTCGAAGAGGAAGCGGTTTCTGACACTCCCGTTACAGTCGAAGTCAAAGAGGTTGTGGCTGAAACAAGCCAAAGACCTCAAAGAAATAGAGTTCTTCCAACAAGACTTAATGATTATGAAGTGATGGGTGATGATGAAATCACACCAGATGGAAAATTAGTTCATTTTGTTTTACTTGCAGGTGTTGAACCAATCAACTATAGCGAAGCTTTGAAGATTAAAAGTGGAAGTTAGCTATGGTCAAAGAGTTATAGGCAATCGAAAGAAACAACACATGGAAGTTAGTCGAATTTCCAACACATACATAAGCTATCGAATTAAAGTGGGTGTTCAAGTTGAAACACAATGTAGATGGGTCAATAGCAAGACATAAAGCAAGATTGGTAGCTCGAGGTTTTCTTCAAAGAGCTGGACTTGACTACTCTGAAGTATTTCCTCCAGTAGCAAGATTAGAGACTGTTCGACTAGTAGTAGCATTGGTATGCAACCAAGGCTGGTCAACATTTCATCTAGATGTGAAATCAGAATTTTTAAATGGTCCTTTAGACGAAGAAGTTTATGTCACACAACCTCCTGGGTTTGGGATTCAGAAGGAAGCGAGTAAAGTATATAGATTTCACAAAGCGCTCTATGGCCTCAAGCAGGCACCTAGGGCATGGAACAAGAAGATCGACTCATACTTAGTCGAATTAGGATTTGTCAAATGCAAATTAGAGTATGGTGTCTATGTTCAGGGCACAAGATATAACAATCATCTGCTTGTATGTTAATGACTTGCTAGTAACTGGAAATAGTTTGGAGAACTTGTTGAAGATCAAAGAGCTGATGACGAAGGAATTTGAAATGTCGGATCTAGGAAAATTGTCTTATTTTCTAGGCATGGAATTTCAAATTTCGAAGCAAGGTATGGTGTTACATAAAAGAAAGTATGTCAAAGAAATACTCAAGAGATTCAGAATGGATGATTTGAATCCTGCATCCTTACTTGTCGAACCAAATGTGAAGTTGGAGAAGTATGGAGAGGAAGACAAAGTCGATGCAACTTTGTTCAAGCAAATTGTGGGATCTCTGAGGTATGTGTGCAATAGTCGGCCTGATATAGGTTTCGCAGTCGGATTTGTAAGTAGATATATGGGTGAACCAAGAGCGTCACATATGAAGGCTGCAAGAAGAATCCTTCGATATTTGAAGGGTTCAATAAATTGTGGAATACTATTTCGATGAGATTCTGAAGGCAAAGAAGCAATAGTTAATTGTTTTTCAGATGTTGATTGGTGTGGAGATAAGGAAGATCCAAGAAGCACAGCTGGATATTTCTTTCAAGTATTTGGTGCCCCAATCTCATGGTGTTCGAAGAAGCAACCTGTGGTGGCATTGTCATCGTGTGAAGCTGAATATATAGGGGATCCTATGTTGCATGTCAAGCAATTTGGATCAGATTTGTACTTGAAGAAATGACTGTCGAAGTGAAGAAACCTCTAGTATTGCAAATTGACAACAAGTCAACCATAAATCTGGAAAAAAATCCAGTTCTGCATGAAAGAAGTAAACATATTGAAGCAAGGTTTCACTTCTTGAGGGAAAAAGTAAATCAAGGTGAACTTGAAGTCAGACATTGCTCAAGTGAAGCACAGTTGGCCGACACTTTCACCAAAGGATTGAAGATCGACAGATTCCTGAATTTGAGGAAGAAATTAGGAATAGTTCAGATTGACTATTTTTGAAGATGTTCGACAACTTGGATTATGAGAGTGTGTTGAAATATTAAATTAGATTAGATTTAATATTTAATATAATCCAAGTTGTGTTAGCCCAAGCCCAA